AGATAGTTTCTCAGAAGCTTCACTCTTAAAGCAGATTTTTAAAAAGCACTAAATTCCTATATGTAGCCACTACCCTCACTGTGTCAAGTATGACTCATTGAACCATCCAGCTGAACACTATAGTAATCTGGAAATTAGTACTACTCAGTTTACAGACAAATAATGTTTTTGTAATGGTCTGTCAGTCAAATGTCTCTAGCCACACTGTAAAGCAGAGGCTAGTGTTTCACTTGCTACCTTTATACTCATTTCATAATTAGCACAGCTCAAGTGCTCCTTTGTCACCCTTCCACAAATCTCTTAAACTGAAAGAACTCATTGTTTGTAACATAACCATTCACTCCAGTCAAACAAGCTTAGCAGTGCATTTTGAATTACTTTCATTATGAGATTATGTGGTCACTGAGGTCATCTGTGCTTGACTCTTGCATAAAATACCCCATAAACATCCTGTAAATAAACAGTGCTCCATATTCAATGCCTCTGGTTGAACTACAGGGGTTTTAGGGGGAAAAATCTCCCTCACTAGGATTCTGAAAAATAAAGATAGAATTTACCATAACCATTTACAAACTAACAACCCTTATGTTACAGTCTGTTTCCTTCAGAACCATTAAATAGTTGCCTTTTGTTTAAAGAAGATATTATGTGTAAAAACTATCTTAGAATGCTTTCCCTTCAGCTATGTTCCTAGTAAAGATGGTATAATTTCTCTGAGTCGATGTTCTAAAGTTTACTTCTGAGAAATCAAGTATTGGTAGGAAGCCTGATGCGTTGTCTAAACTCTCTCAGCCAAAAATGGTCTGGATCTTCAGATGATGCTATTATCCATACCTGCTTTGAAAATACAGTCAGTCATGAAGAATCTTTATTCCCTCAAAAAGGGGGCATTTACTGCTCAGAACATTCAGAGAGATTGAAAAACCTGTGTGTGGTATACATGCTTTACCAATTTGCACAAAGCATGAACTGATAACCAGATGCTTTCCCCTCCTCTCATCAGCTTTGGACTGACAGAGGACTGCAGCTTAAGAAGGTTTTAATATAAATGCCAATGGGGAAACTCAGAATTCTTACTCTTATAGATGTGGTGTAATCTAGGAGTCAGTAACCTATGGCCCACAGGCTGGATCCAGCCCACAGAGCCATTAAATCTGGTCATGGATGTGTGACTTCACCAGCTTTTGGCATCAGGAACCTTTGGCTGTGGTGCCATAAGTGATCTGCCCTGGCCACCTGATGCCAACTGCAACCAGTGCTGCTCCATATGGTATCATATGGAGCAGCACTGGTTGCAGGTGGGTCCTAAGTACTAGGGCTGTGCAAAGCTTTGGTCCCTGATTCAATTTGGCAGAAATTTGGCCCAATTTGGTGGCTGAATCTCCAAATCAGAATCGAATCAGAGAACCCTGTAATCTCTCCGAATCAATTTGGAGAGATTCAGAAAGTTTTGGAGATTCGGACATAGACACAGCTTTAAATGTTTTTTCTACATACCTCTACGTAGAAGGCGGCTTGCGAGTGCTGCAATGCTGGGGCACATGGAGTGTCCCACAGAGGGACAGAGGGCTCCCCAGCACACTCAGCAGCAGACCAGTAAGAGGACCAGAAGCACTTCCGGTCAACTTCCGGGTCCACTGGGGAGTGCGCAGCAGGGGCCGCCGAGCACATGGAGCCCCCCTCCCCCCGCACTCCTGTGGGATGTTTCATGCACCCCAGCATCGCAGTGATCACAAGCCGCACCTGCTACCTCAAGGTATGTAGAAAAGCTTTTAAAGCTGTGTCTACGTCCGAATCGCTGATTCTCTGAATCAGCATCGAATCTTCATATTTGGCCAAATTGAATCAGGGACAGTGATCTGAATCAACAGATTGAATCACTGTCACTGATTCAGGCCAAATCTGAATCCAATCGAATACGGCCTGCTTTGCACACCCCTACTAAGTACCCACCCTCTCACCTGCCTCTAAACCAAGGTGGGTCATTCCAGCCCACAGCCAGAAAAGCCTGCCTACTGCTACTGTTACCTGAGTGAACAGCACCTGTTGCTTTAACTCTAAAAAGTCCCATATTCTGTAGCTAATAGCTAAAACTTGGAGGCTTTATGCAACATTTTGTATAGCTATCTCATTGTCATAGGTATCACAATGCTACTAGGTTCAAATACAATTAAGTCTCAAGCAGTCATATTTTCTATTGGTATACTATTATTTCAGCAGCATCTAAAGGCCCTAATTGAAATATGAGGCCTCATTTACGTAGCTAGTACATGCTTGTATAGTGATACAGTCTGTGACACAAACTGAATCAATGGATATGGACACTGATGGATGAAACAGTTATACCACCACAGAAAAATGAAGACATGTTTCTGTCCACCCCTTACACCATGCCCATGCCTTGCAGATGTCACTGTACCATCACTCAGGTGGGATACTTGTCCCCCAAAGCCACCAGGCCACCTCCCTTGTTGGGGCTTCAACCTTCCCAGCTTCTGCCCCTCTACTCTAGCTGGTCCGACCTGGTTTCTGGGCTCCAGCCCTCACCTTGTTATTTTAATCCTGGGCCCCCCCAGGCCCTGCTCCAGACACTGAGCCTGCTCCAGGCACTGATTTCTCCACCCTGCTCTAGGCACTGAGCCTGCTTTGGTTCTCTCTGTCCTCTGCACCAGTGCTGTGGTCTCTCTAGCCCTATTTCTGGTTCTGGGCCCTCTGGCCCCAAGCTCTGCCCCTTCTTGGGCAATGTGGGGCTCCTGGGACCTCTTTGTGCCTTGAGTCTGACCCCTGGCAGGCTCAAGACAATCATGTACCTCTTGGGCATTAATAGGACCTCCAAACCACCCCTCAGTCCCTTCCACAAACCACTGGTTAAAACACAAACCAAAACATGAGTTCTCTAGCACTGAACCCTCAGCCTCCTGACCTTTTAAAGCAATCACTGTAGGGTCCACCCTGACTTCATTCCCCTGCCAGCCCTGGAAGAACCTGCAGCGTCTCGGCATAGCTGGTTCACAGTCTAGCATCAGTAGGCAGCTCCCTGCAGAGCTCCTTTCCCCTCAGCTTCCAGGGCCAGACTACGTCTTCTGGGATCAGCCCTCAACTTTTGAGTCTCTCCCTGAGTTACCTGGCCTTTTACTTCCAAATCAGGCCTGTCAATCACAGCCTGCACCTGAAGCAGGAGGCCAACTTATTTAGATCCTTTCCCCCAACAAGTCTGTTCACAGGGCTGGGCTGGCCCACACGCATTGGGCTCCCTCCCCCTTCTCAGTAATGGGGCATAAGCCCCATTACACTGATATTTCTGTACAAATTGTTAAAGGCTAATATGATAGCTAGGGGCTGCTGTTTACAAGTCCTGTTGAACAAAGATTACTACAACTTATTTTGATAACCCATTCCTAAGAACTTAATTGAATAATGCAGGTGAGGATATGCATTTATAACTTTTAAAAAAGTACAAGAAATAGACAAAAGATTGCAATATTAATAATTGGAGGTTTTAAGAAAAGCAGCAAACTGAAGTGGGCTCAATATTTATTTTTTGGATTTCCTGTAGCTACTAGCTTCCCTTCGTCTACCAGTCAGTATAGACAACATTTCTGCTGCAGGTGTGTTTTACATGCAAACAAGGCCAAAGGATTCCAAAATACAATCCTTCTAAGCCAGGGTTGGGCAATTATCTTAGCTGGAGGCCCACTTAATGAGTTTTAATGAGCTGTAGAGGGCCTCATGGATAGCCCTGCACCTTAACAGGTGCCCTGCCCCCTGGTCACTATCTTGGGACCAGAAGTCCTACCCTTAACCCCTGACTTTTGCCACCAGAAGTCCCTCCCTTGCCCCTAAAAGTACTCCATGGGAGAGGAAGAGGAAGGTGGAGCGGGATTTGCTATCTTAGAACCAGGGAAAAAAAACAAATCATATGCTAAAAGTCAAACATCTACTATAACATATTTTAATTTTATTTCAAAAAATATTTTTGTCCTGATTTATGTGCCTTTGTATGGCATATATAGAGGTGACTGCATAACAGCTCAAAAATAAAGTCTTATATTTTGGGGGGGGGGCAGAATGTGTATATTGTGTGTGGGGGGTGTGGCAGAGTGTGTGGGGTGTGGTTGGGGGCTGGGAGTTTGTGTGGTAGGGGAAGTGTGTGGGTGGGGGTGGGTTTGTAGGGGAGTCTGTAGGGTTTGTGGAAAGGTATGGCTGTGTGTTGGGGGAAGGGTGTGGGGTTTGTGGAGGGGTGTAGCTATGTGTGAGCAGGGTGTGGAAAAGTTTATTGTGCGTGTGGGGTGTGGGGTGCCCCACCCCATGATACACAGCCCCCACCACCAAAAGTGGTGGCATCAGCAGCAGCAAGCAGCAGGCCCTCAGGGTCCTCATGGTGTACACAGACAGAACCCCCCAGCGGCGCACAACTCCAGCCACCCCCAGGAGCTGCAGGTGGCAGCAAGGAGTGGGGCCAGGCCACCCACAGTTCCCTGTAGATCACATGCAGCTCCTGGGACCCAGCCAGAGTCATGCACTGCACAGTGGGGGAGCCCCACATGATGGAGCCCGCAACCTGGCCCCATTTCCTGCCACCTCCCAGGACTTTGCTGGAAAGCAGGGAGAAGAGCTGGCCTAGCTCCATCATACTTGGCTCCCCACCACTTCCAGCAGAGTTCCAAGAGCTGCATGTAGCAGCAGGGAGTGGTGAAGGCCACCAGCTCTATTGCACGGGGCTTCTCCCCAACCCCCGTGGTGTGCAAGTCCCGGGAGCTGCATGTGAGCCACAGGGACCATGTACAATGGAACTGGGCAGACCCGAGATCCATGCTCCCACCCAGATGCAGCTTCTCTCCACCCACCAGCACTTCCCTACTGCTGCCCAGAGCACTGCAGCAGACACAAGGAGGAGCCAGGGGAGCCGAGCAATTCCCCCAGAAGCAGCAGCAGCAACCCCACTAGGAAGCGGTATGCTGGCCAGAGCTGGGGCCAAGGATCTCCCCACATGAGGGTGGGATCAAAGCACACTGGCCCAGCAAGAATGGTCAAGGCTCGGGCCACATGCAAAGGTAGCAGGGGCAGCCATGGACCAGCAGGATACAATTAACTGATGGGTGCATTCCTGAGGGCCAAATGAAATTGCCTGGTGGACCTGATCTGGCCCATATGCCATATTTTGCCCCGCCCTGTTCTCAGCCATGGAGCATGTCAAGTCAAGGCCAGGATTGCTCTTCTGAGAAAGGATAGTCCTTGTGATTTTTGCTCCTAGAGAGAAAAAGGTTTTATTGTAAAATCCTCACAACAATGCATTAGAAAGATCAGCATAAATACAAGCCCCTGGCTAAAATAACATTCCTGATAGATGTTGTGCATGGGTCAAACCCTTCACTAAAGTGATCATACCTCCAGTCTTCCTCGCTACTTAACCTATACAAGACCAAAGTTAATTCTCAACTTCTTTGATAAGAGGGATTTGCATATTTTGCAATTTTTCTCACTTGCCCTCCTGCCATTCCTAATATAGTTTTTCCTGTAGCTTTGCATTTGCTTCAAATTTTGCCTAAAACTTTACTATTAAAAGGTGAAATATTTTTCACATATGTATTATACATCATACAAAAATACAAACTTCTGAAGTATAGTAGGTTTGTAGTATTCCCTTTCATAATGTTTAAACCATGAAAACAGAATAAGTAGCAAAGCTGGAAGTAAAAGCCAATAGTAGGCATAGGTTCCACCATTCTAAAATGGGGCACTGCATCAGTCTCAGCACAGGTAACATTAATAATCACAGGACAGGTAATACACCAGCCTAGCTCTTCTAGACTTGCTACTTAGAACACATTTCTAAAATGAAACTCATTTACTTTGAATATATTTGTCAGATAAGTAACAGATAAAAATCTGAAGCTATCTGTTTTGGAGTGTCACATCAATTTTGACTTGTTAATCCATGCTTAATATAGGCCTCATAATATGACATTAACACATTATAATCCATTTTACCATGTTGCACACACAAAATTACAAATGACTAGTATTCCACTGGACTTCAGTGGCTACAGAGGTGAGAAGTTTACTGAAGGCCAGGGTTTCCACGTTTCCTACTCACTAATTAAAATTGAGATTATAATTCTTGCCATTCATTATGCTGAATGAACTAAAGGAGAACAGACACTCACATGGTTAAAGAACAGATTCTGTATCGTCTCTTAAACCTGAGAAGAGTTTCCATCTCCTTGTTACTTAACTCAAAATCAAACACCTGCAAAGTAAGGGGAGAGAAAGAGATACACACACTATGAGGTTTCAGTTAGTTCTACAAGATACAAGTGTAAGCACATCCATGAAAAGAATATTGGAGACATAAATAGAAAAGCATTATATGTAGGGGTCTACCCAAATCAAGGAGGCAGATGGCTGATTTTTGTGGGCTGATCAGCCCAAGGCACAAGTGTGGCCTACAGAATCATGGCATTTGGGGCTCCACACAGGTTGGGAAATTTGATGGCAGGGGAACAGTGAAAAATAATACTGCCACCCCTCTCCTGCTGCCAAATTCCCAAGCCCCACAGAGCCAGATCAAAGCCAGCCCCACCCCTTCTCCCCCTCATGCAGTCAGATGGAGGGTGAGCCGATCTCCTTTCCCCTCCATATGGCTGAATCAGGGCTGGCCCATGTCCCCTTCCCATGCAGGGCTCAACTGGGGCAGGCCACTCCCTGACCCTCCCCCGCCCTACACAGGCCGCAGCTCACTACTCCACACGCTGGATCAGGCCCACCAGATGGATTGGGCCCGCAGATGCACTGAGCACTACCCATCCAGCCCAAGGTGGAAGAAGGTTCAGCACTACTGGTTCAGATGAAAAAATGTTATAATGAAGGTCCAAATTTACGAAGGGCGTGATAAAACTCGAGCCAAAATGTCAAATTCAAGGAATTTAAATGTAGAGGCCTAAACCGAGTCATCTAGGTTAAGTAGCTTGACTTTCACAGGGGAGGAGACAGGGTGGAGGGCAGGGAGCCAGGGTCCAGGTTCTGGCCCCAGCAGCTATTACTTCCTGCAGGTGGCAGCCAGGGCTCAGGCGCTGCTGGAGTGGGGAGGCAGAGGGCTGCAGGCTCTGGCCCTGGGGCACTTGGGAAGCATCGGGCACTGCAGATTGGGAGGGAGGGGCAGCTGAGGGGGAGGAGAGCTGTGAGGAGTGAGGGGCCATGCTGAGTAAATGGGGTTATGATGAGGAAAATTTGGGGAAGCACTGTGTTAGAGTTATTTTAGGTTTGGCAAATACTAGAACTTTCAAATATATTTATTGTTTGCAGTGGGTTACAGTCCTTAAAAGCTTCATGTGTGTTGCCTTTGCCTCTAAAGAAGTGATAATGCATATATATGTGTAATAATAATCCTGTTTGAGAGGCTAATTTTGGTAGTTTTCAAGGTCTTAGCTGCTGCATAATTATTTAAAATGCAGAAGATTTATCTGTCTATGTAGAAATGATGTACATTCAGCAACAAGCTCCAGGTGTTTTAGGTATGAGCTGGCATTAAACTGACTTATGGTGACAGACAGGATCATATTTTAAAAGAAAAATAGCATTTATCTGGCATTGTTCTAATGAAAGAAGTTCTAGTCAACATTTCAAAATTACTCTTAACTTTGACCAAAAGGTATAACATCTGATATCTAACAGTTTTTTTTTTTCTAGTGCTAAAGACAGGGAAAACTGTGGCTTATAAAATAATGTCATATGTAAACAACTCCTTTACTGTCTTACCTTAACATTTTCTTCAATATGACATAGAGTCACAGATTTGGGAATTACACTCACATTTCTTTGGACATGGAACCTAATCAAAACCTACAGGAACAGACAAGGAGTTACAATGACAAGTAGTCATTGAAAAGCAACATTGTATCTATTTATCCATTCTATCATGAATGACTCTATCAGATTAGAGATAAAATATACATTAAAATAATAATAAGACCTGTATAAGGACAACCCAAAGTTTTGCGCAGAATAATTTAATCATTACTGGATATGAACCTAAATTTGCAAATTGTAAGCACCACAGGCTAAAGCTTTTCTTCTCCCTTTTGGACTGTAATCAGATTCAAAATTACTAAGGCTGTCAAATGATTTAAAAAATTGATCACAATTAATTGTGTGATTAAAAAATTAATTGCAACTAATTGTGATTTTGACATTGCACAACTAAAAACTCAAAATGATGTGCAGAAAAACTCAGTTATACAAAACTTATGCAGGTACTTTGTGTGGTTGGGGGTGGGGGTGAGGTGTGTGGGGGGAATGGTGCCCAGAGAAGAGGGTTCCTGCGTACCCTGGCAGGATTTGCGGGACTGTAGGTCAGGAGTGAGGGGCAGCAGTAGGGCTGGGGGCGCTGTTGCTTGGGAATGAGGGGCAGATAGGCACACATATAGACACACACACATATAGACACCACCCTGCAGGTAAGGGTGAGGGGGGAAGGGGTGTGGGGGAGGGAAGGGTATATGGGTGGGGGGGACAGATGAGGCCCCCCACAGTGAAAAAGGGAGTGAGGCAACGCCAGGGGCAGGGACAGGGGTTGGAGTGAACGGAGCCCTGGGACCAGGGCAGGTTATGGGACAGAGCTGAGGGTGGTTTGTCCAGCGGTTGCGGGGGGGGCACTCCCATTGCTGTGGGGAGCATCCTGGGGCCCCACTAACCCCAGCCCCTGCCGCTCCTTCCCACATCATGGGGGCTTGATCTGTCCCCCTCATGCCCTTTCCCTCCCCCACATCCCTTCCCCTTCACAGACTTGCCTGCTGGGCACTGCTCCACATGCTACTGGGCTGCATTTCAGGCTGCCTGCAGGCTGTGGCTGCAGCTGCATGTCTGTGTCTTTGCTTGCCCCTCCCCCCCCAGTGCAGCCACCTGGAGCCTGTGCCTGGGCTGCCCTGCAGTCCTCTGCGCTACCACCACTGCCCCACAAGCTGGCCCCGAGGTAGCAATGACGGTGGTAGAGCAGAGCCCAGGTGATGGCTCCAAAACCACATGACCAATTAACATGTTAAAAAAATAACAGGAACAACGATTAACATGTTAATTGCACACGTTAATTGCAATTAATTGACAGCCCTAAAAATTACACATTTTTAAAGGATCAAGTTGAAAAAAAGATATTGTAATTGCTGCTCAATTGGCCCAAGGTGTTGTCAGCCCAAGAGGAAAGTACTTTATAAAGGAAAAAAGGTAGACAAGTAGCCTGTACCTGGGCTGTGGTTTTGTTGTGCTTGTCTGCAATTTTCTTAACCTGCGGGTCATTGAGGAGAGAACAGTTCTTAGATGTGGACCTATAAAAATTTAAAAAAACAGACACTATAGTGGTAGAAAAACATCATTATCTCATCCATCAAACAATAAAAGCCTAAAAAAATAATTGGCAGTTTAGAAGGGAAAAAAAGCATGCATCATTCTCTCACACCGTCCCTTTCTCCCGTAGTGTTTGTGCTTAATATTCTTGTATCACAAGTGAACTGAGTTTTGCATCAAGGTCAAAGTATAGCTCATGCCAGTATCCTCCTACAGGGCATTCTGCTATTAAGCACTTAGCACCAAAAATGCCTGTCTCCCAGATCTAAGAGTCTCATATTGACTACTGAGTTTACTTCTTCATGAGCACAATTTTTCCACTAGGTTGTGATTAAGAGGAAGTTTTGAAGCTTTCTATAAACAACCAGAGCAAATCCCCCAAACTTATCCATTTCAAGGTCATTCTGTATTTGTTATAATGGCTACATTAATTTGATGTTTTTATGGCAGTGTGTTGGTGTTCACTATGGTGTTGTAATCTTTTGTGAAATTGTTAAAACAATTAATGCTGGTCAATTCAACTAAGATTTGTCTTAACAGGTTGTGAAGCTGGTACTTTCCCTGCCTCCCTACTTGTTAACTTTCCCTGCCTTTCCCTGCCCGCCTCCCCACCTCCAACCCCATGGTAAATACCTCAATCTAGGAACACTCTAATCCAGCAGTTCCCGAAATCTGACAAATTGTGCACCGCCAATTTAAAATGCTACAACCTCAAGTACCACCAGAAAATTTTTCAGATCAACCTTCAGTACCACCAGCAAATTATTGTCATATAAAATAATTATAATAAATCTGTTAACACGTACCACTGACAGGGTGTCTGCATACCACTGATGGTACCCATACCACAGATTGATTAGTCTAATGTGTATGATAGTCCAATAACTCAGTAAGAAACTGATAATTTCTAGGTACTTAGATTGACAAAAAAATCTTTATGAAACGTTTTATCTATAAACTATATATTTATTCCTATTAATGTCAACTGTGCACTGTATATATATGAATCACTGGTATTTCAGTGAACTCACGCCTAGGAAAAAAGTACTCTTACCATGGCCAGTTAGGAGCTCCAAGAGGACAGTAGGCAGTGACAGAAATCCCTTTGAACTGGCAATAGTTAATTAGTTCTTCCTGAGGAAGGTATGGGTGGCTCTCAATCTACAAGAACAAGCACTAAGTTTACTCAGAGACAGGCAGTATTACTGCATTTCAGGGCATATAGAGGCTAAACTAAGTTCCTGCATGAGATGCAACAGCATGAGCACATCCATCTCATAAATCCCACAAATCCCTAGAAGACATTAAGAAAGAGCCAGTCAATGTACTCAAAATTGTCTCTTAAAAGGCACTGCCCAAGCAGAGATCAAGAAACCAAATCAGCTGGACTTTTCAGCTTCCCTTGATCTGGAATTTTTCATTGTACCCAACCTTCACCTTGTTACCAGTTATAACACAACATCATACTAGGCTTGCTTCCCTTCAATAATATACAATATTACAATGAGCTACTGTCTTCTTAAGAATACCTTCGCTGAGTTCTTCCATGCAGTGAGCTTAATGATAGCTGCTTCATTTTCAAGGAGAGGATTCTGCCTTCAAAACTGCATAACATTTTATTTTATTTCTAATTGTTTATTATAAAGCTTGATATACAGAGAATATATGCACATAGCTCCCATTAGACTTGGGTAGAATTAAACGTGTAATCCAATACACGTAGACTAGTAGTGAAAGTGGAACACAACCTTGCTAAAAGTTCTTGGACTCTCATGTCCATGTCAGATAGTATTTAATGTTAGAACTTAATTAATTAATTTACCTTAATTATGCTATTTATTTTGTCCTATGCTATTTTATTTTGACCATTTTATTTGACCAACTGCAACATGACCTTTCATTAAAAATCCCATAATCATTTAAATTGCTGTTTGCCATGTAGTTACAGTGATTTCAAATGAGTTGCCTCTGCATATGCATTTTGCCTCAATATAGCTACTTTTTTCCTAAAAATGAAGCAAACTTATCCATAACTTAGTGGAATCTAAACCAGCATGGAAATGCAGGAGACATGGTTCAGAATTTACAGATACATTCCAAACTAGTGAGCTGGTATCCCAGAATAATGTTCGTGGACTGTGTGGAGATGCAAGTTATACCGTATTTTCTCAAATCTAAGATGGGGGTGGGGGGTGTCTATCACCTTAGATTCTTATACAAAAAAGCAAGGGGTGGGTGTAGGTGGCTGCTGCAGTTCTGACTGGCCCTGAGCTGGGGCTGGGGCCAGAGTAGACCTGCAGGCACCTCCTGCCCCTACCTCTGCATCATCTCCCTTCCCTCCTCCCCTGCCCCCCTCCCCACTCCCTTTTCCCCCTTACTGTCAGGCACAGCTCAGATCGGATTCCCTCCCAGGCATGGAGCACAGGAAAACACCATCCTCTGCCCAGCAAGGCCTATGCTTCCATGTGCTGTGCTCTGGGGAGAGAATAGAGCTCAAGCAGCTTCTGACATTAAGGGAGTGCAGGGGGAAGAAACTGTGAGAGAGGGAGGGAGGGCTAGAGACTGTAGGAGAAAAGTACTGGCTCAGAGAGGAGAGGTGCAGAGGAAGAAGGGAGGGCAGAGGGCGAGGAGGCTGCCTGACCCCACTAGCCATTGCTTTCCTCGCTGTAGCCGTTACAGGGGGATGAGCTCAAGACAGCCCTCCAATAATTAGATTCTATACCTGGAAAATTATAACAAATTTATACATTTTCCATATATAGAACCTAATAATTGGGTGGTCATCTTAGATTCAGAGTCATTTTAGATTTGAGTAAATATAATAATATACCAGTCTCCCTACCCAGCAAGTACCAATCTCCAACCAGCAGTTTCTCTTTCAATCTGTTTGTCTTTTGTCTCTGCCCTCCAGTCTCTTCCTCCTACTACTTACATTTTCCAGATTCACTGACTCTCAGTTGTTGCCCCTACACTAGGGTTGTCATCCACTCTCAGAGGGCCATTACTTGCTTCTC